GGACGTTATCTCACTAGTCAAATATTGGAGATATTTTGAATTCTGCGTTAAAGGTTCATTACTTGCTTTGCCTTCTAAATTTTGAATGTTGGATCCATATCTTAATCATTTCTATCCCATTTTGATGTGTCCGATTTTGATTATGTGATAAACCATGAAATGAATTTGGCTTTATAATTTCAGTTTATTTGTTTATATTGAAGGATTAGTATTTTGGTGATGAATTACCAAATGGGTTAGAGTGCATAATATTAATGGAAATACTGACTGTCCATTTACATGGTGGCTTCTTTTGGTTTATAAATTGAATCTGCTTCATGACCCATTATATTTGGGGTTGATTTTTAGTTATTTTAAACCAATGGAAGTATCTGTAATTTGATCTATCTCTCATGTTGATATTTAGATTACTATACTGTTTGAAAATTTGGAAAAATTGGTGAACAAACAAGATAGGATGTTGGGGGGTTTAGCAAGATCTAGAACACATTTGACCTTTGAAGTATTCTGTCATATGCATATTATTTGAGTGAAGCTCATATCAAACTACTGTTTGTTTCATTACCACTTCGTTCATTTATCTTCAAGGAAAGTATGATTTATATTTGTTAGATTCATCTAATACACTTTTAAATAATTCAAGTTTAGATAGTTTTTGTATAGCCAAAACTCACCACAATCTCAAATAGTTTAGGAAAATAACTCTAAATACACAAGAAAAAATTTAGACGCACTTTAAATATTATCTTATGTGTTCATACCGAACCTTGGATTGATATGCTTAAATAACAAAAGGATCATGTGCGCATTCCGCATCTTGATGTATTTAAATTTAAAATAATTACGTTATAACCATGTGTATATTCCGTACCTTGGTTTAACATTTAATTTCAAAGAAGTACCTTTGTCACAACCCCAAATACCCCGGTCGTGATGGCGCCTATCACAGTACTAGGCAAGCCAACCAAATGTCTACCACAACGAAATTCTCAAATTCTCACATGGAATATATATAAATCAACAAAAATATGTGGAAATCAGTACAAAGTATACCAACACAGCCCAACAACCCGGTGTCACTAGTCAAGAGCCTCTAAATACAACCCAAAAACTAACTGAATAATACATCATAAGTCTGAAATAACAGAATACTAAGATAGGAAGGGGAAAGCAGGGCTGCGAACGCCGTGCAACTACCTTGCAATCTCCGGAAATACTCTGAGAGTGCTGGAAGCTCTCACTCTGATGCACGATCACCTGGATCTGCACACAAGGTGCAGAGAGTAACGTCAGTACGCCAACTCAGTAAGTAATAAAGTACATAAAGTTTGAGTGCAGTGACGAGCATTTAAAATCATATATCAGGAAAACTCAACAGAAACATAAAGTCAAAGATCTGCAGTTCAATAGTTAATTTATTCGTAAAATCTCCAGTTTAAATCAAAGTCTTTGAAATCATTTATTCAACATTTTCAATAGAGGCTTAGTAAATAAGAAGAGAGAAAACAGAGTAAACGTCATAAACAGGCCCCTTCGGCAAGAAATCACTCATAAGTATAGCCCCTCGGGCAAGCCTCTCAGTCACACGTGACTCAACTCTCGTCACACAGTACTCACATTCGGCACTCCGGCTCAATAGATGTCTCATAGAAAATATAATAATAATAATAGCTGTGGCGTGAAGCCCGCTCCAATATATACAATAATCGCTGCGGCGTGCAACCCGATCCAATATATATAGTCGACTACGCTCACTGGGGGTGTAGAGACTCCGGAGGGGCTCCTACAGCCCAAACGTCATATCGCTGCGTCGCGCAGCCCGATCCAATATATATCACTGCGGCGTGCAGCCCGATCCATATAAGTATTGCTACGGCGTGCAGCCTGATCCATAATATATATATATATATATATAATATCGCTGCGGCGTGCAGCCCGATCCATAATATATATATAATCCTCACCATAGGGTTTTCAACCTCTCTCAGTCATTAACCTCACGGCCACTCGACTCATTAGTGAAAAATCAGGGAAACTCAGCCCAAACAGTTTTTCATTTATTAAGAAGTATAGTAATGAAACTAGTTTTAAACAATAAACAGGTAAAACATGACTGAGGATATGCTTTCAAATCAAATAAAGTGAGGAAAGTAGCAAAAATACCCCTAAGGGTCTAAACAGGTCGGCACAAAGGCCCCAAACATGGCATACAACCCAAAATATAGCATAAGTCTCTAAAATACGGAATATCATAAGGTTTCAAATCAAATACGTGGCTTAATAGATGCTACGAGATGGACCAAGTCACAATCCCTACCGGTGCACGCCCACACGCTCGTCACCCAGCATGTGCGTCACCTCATTAATCAAACAGTACGAAATACCGGGGTTTCATACCCTCAGGTCCAGATGTACAATGGTTACTTACCTCAAACCGGATGAAATACTACTCCGCGACGCCCTTGCCTCTCGACTCGACCTCATCTCGCGTCGAATCTACCCAAAGTCAGAATCATAACATTAGAATATGCTAAGGGAACGAAGCTCGTGCGAAAATAATCAAATTACAACACGAATCCTGAAATTGACCAAACTCGACCCCCGGGCCCACGTCTCGGAATCCGATAAAAATCACATTAATGAAATCCTTATCCTCCCACGAGTCCATGCATACCAAGAATACCAAAATCCGACCACAAATGACCCCTCAAATCCCTAAATTTAGGCCTCCAATTTCCAAGCCCTAAACCCCCAGTTTTAACTACTAATTACCACAAATTTCAAGCTTAAACTGTTAAAAATCATCATAGAAACAAGTTTAGGGTCCAAAAACCTTACCTCCACGAAATCCCCTTGAAATCCCTCTTCAAAATGCTCCCCAAGCTCAAACCCGTAGGTAAAAATGGTGGAATAGCCAAAAATTCGCGAAGGAGGACTTATATACTTTCTGGCCTAGGTTTTTCGCACATGCGGCCCATTTTCCGCTCCTGCGTAGCCGCTTCTGCGGTTTCTACTTAAAACTTCAAAATCCGCACCTGCACATGAAATACCGCACCTACAGTCTCGCAGGTGCGACCAAACTTCCGCACCTGCGTCTTCAGCTCTTCTCACCCAATTCCGCATCTAGGCCTTTCCTTTCGCTCCTGCGATCCCGCACCTGCGGTCCCCAATCCGCAGGTGCGGTTATGACAGCAAAATCAGCAACTTCAGCTGCACAGTTCCAACTCTCCACTTCCCGACAACCATCCGAAATCACCCCGAGGCCCCCGGGACCTCAACCAAAAGCACGAACAAGTCATATACCACTATCCAAACTTATACCAATCTTTGAAACACCTAAAACAACATCGAATCAATAAAATAACATCGGATTCAAGCCTAAGGTTCCAAAAACTTCCGAATTCCTCTTTTAATTAAAAAGTCTATCAAACCTCGTCCGAATGACCTGAAATTTTGCACACACGTCACAAATGACACAACGGACTTACTCCAATTTCCGGAATTCCATTCCGACCCCTACATCAAATTCTCCGCTACCAACCGGAAAATGCCAAAATTCCAATTTCGCCAATTCAAGCCTAAATCTACCCCAGACCTCCAAAACACATTCCGAGCACGCTCTAAGTCCCAAATCACCTCACGAAGCTAATCGAACCATTGAAATTCACATCCGAGACCTATTTCACATAAATCAACATCCGATTGTCTTTTCCAACTTAAGCTTACTCAAATAGCATCGAACTTCTTCAAAGTCCGTGGAGCCCAACTACAAAGTCCATGGTGATTCGCTCCCACTTCCACTCTGGAATATCCATCTGCTGAAGCAAGCCACCCGGTCTCTGATGCTCATATTTCACTTGCTGACAATTGAGACACTGAGCTACAAATCCCACAATATCTTTCTTCATCCTCCTCCACCAATAATGATGTCTTAGATCCTGATACATCTTCATGGAACCCAGATGAATGGAATACCGCGAGCTATGGGCCTCCTCCAGAATCAACTCCTGAAGCCTATCCACATTGGACACACAAATCTGGCCCTGCATCCTCAACACCCCATCATCACCAATGGTCACATCTCTGGCATCGTCGTGCTAAACTCTGTCCTTAAGGACAAGCAAGTGAGGATCATCATACTGGTGCTCTCTTATGTGATCAAACAAGGAAGACCGAGAAATCACACTAGCTAAGACCCGATTGGGCTCCGAAATATCCAACCTCACGAACTGATTGGCCAAGGCCTGAACATCAACTGCAAGAGGTCTCTCCCCAACAGGAATATACGCCAAACTGCCCATACTCGCCGCCTTTCTGCTCATGGCATCGGCCACTACATTGGCCTTCCCGGGATGGTACAAGATAGTAATATCATAATCCTTTAGCAGCTCCAACCATCTCCGCTTACTCAAATAGCATCTATCTTCTTCAAAGTCCGTGGATCCCAACTACAAAGTCCATGGTGATCCGCTCCCACTTCCACTCTGGAATATCCATCTGCTGAAGCAAGCCACCCGGTCTCTGATGCTCATATTTCACCTGCTGACAATTGAGACACCGAGTTACAAATCCCACAATATCTTTCTTCATCCTCCTCCACCAATAATGATGTCCCAGATCCTGATACATCTTCGTGGCACCCGGATGAATGGAACACCGCGAGCTATGGGCCTCCTCCAGAATCAACTCCCGAAGCCCATCCACATTGGACACACAAATCCGGGCCTGCATCCTCAACACCCCATCATCACCAATGGTCACATCTCTGGCATCATCGTGCTAATCTCCGTCCTTAAGGACAAGCAAGTGAGGATCATCATACTGGCGCTCTCTTATGTTATCAAACAAGGAAACCCGAGAAATCACACTAGCTAAGACCCGCTTGGGCTCCGAAATATCCAACCTCACGAACCGATTGGCCAAGGCCTGGACATCAACTGCAAGAGGTCTCTCCCCAACAGGAATATACGCCAAACTGCCCATACTCACCGCCTTTCTGCTCAANCCGCATAGCGCTGCAAACCAACAACACCACCATAAACATGGAAATGGGGAAAAAAGAGTTTACTCTAAAAGCATCAAATACTGAAGCTCATAGTAGTAAGATACATCTTTCGAAAGTACCTCAATGGACAAATCAACGTCATTTTGTGTAGCTGACTTTCCATGTCCCCTGAGATCCATGGCTACTATCCTAGCTTTCTCCTTAAGTTTGCTTGCTGCCAATGCAAATGAGAGCCTGAGAAAATAAAACCGCACAGATTTAACATAATGTTTCTCGTTAATTGCCATTTCAAAACTGATGCTTAGCTACAAGATACAGATAGACGAGAGAGCAAGCAAAACCATTCACCAACAGGCTCTGTACCTTCCAACAGAATACAAATTTTCCAAGCATCTAGGAATTAACTAAGGAATTCACCAGAGAACTGACCACAATGAATAAGAACATGGGCACAAAGAATGTCCTAAGACTGTTTACTGACATCTATTCTCCTAAAAAGGGAGTCAGTGAAGTTGATTCTTGAACAGAAGAGTGTTGGCAAAGCAGCATAACTGACATTTAAGTGAAACCCATAAAGTGGTTGATATTCAACTATATTCTCAAAGACACCATGTAGATTTTTACTAGCTCCTTTTCTTCATTAAGTTTCTCTTCGTAAGATGAAAGCTTCCATATCTCCCAAAAGTTTCTTGTGCCTTTTTTGGAATAAATTACATAAACTTCATTTAAAGCATACCAGATGATGTCAAGAGCATATAAAATATAAATTTTTGGTTCAACCACAATCGGAGCTGTGGACGTTGGGTTTCTCCTTATTCAACGTCACTTGGGTTCTCTCAAGGACAATGGATTGAGTCTTAGCTAGATCAATGATACAGACATTTGCAGAGATAGGAACACAGCTTGGAGGACTATCTCACTATGTCTTCTTTGATCTATTTAGAATTGGAGAAAGAAGAGATTGTTCCATACTAGCAAGTAATGATGTTAGGAGCAATAAGAAAATTATTTCTTCTTTCATTAATTGTTTTGGTCTAAGCAGTGAATTTTGCCTTTTAATCCATTAATTTGCAGCAGTTATACTAGGGACAAGGTTCCCCCTTCAAACTGTATCAGCATACCATTCTCCACTCCTTAACCATACCATTCGGCAACCAAATACTATTTTCTACCAAATGTGAGAACAAAGAAGTGCACGCTTTCCTATTTGGCTCTTCCTAATTCCTCTTTTTCTTAATCTTTCTGGAATCTTCTGCACTTGGTCTATGCTACATGGCCTCAGGTAGTAATGAAGCTTACAGATGCATGTCTGATTTTCCTAGGCTTTTTATCTAGAACATGTGGATGATGCTAAAAAGTTTGGCAGAAGCAGGTTAGGCACAGTATGCATCAATTTCAAACTAAACTATTATCATTTTAAATAAAGGAGCTGCTATACATCTTTTTCTATACATCTTTTTCTGGATCTTCTTTCTCAGGTTATTAGGTTAGGCCATAAAAACTGATCCTCCCCTTTTCCCTCCAAGTCACCTGCTTCTAAGTCCAGCAAAGCTCCTTATTTTTTGTGGATTTTGTTGTATTATTATTCCGTTAGCACAAAAAGATTGTGCCATAGATACAAGAGATGTAAGAACAAACATGCAGAGTGGAGAACACTCCCTTATTTGGATGTCATGATTCAAATTCTTTTATGGTCATGATTTCTTAAAAGAAAGTTGAAATGTTCATTTCCTAACTTATTAAACTTTTAGCAGGAAAGGTGAAAAAGTATGGTTCAAATGGAAGTTTGTTCCCACGTCATTTTTGTTAGTAAAGACGAAAGGGAAAGCAGAAATTAAATGTCTTTGTTGTGATCTAAAACTCATCTAGAACAAATCCTAAAGTGAAATGTGGCTCTACACTTTGTAAATACAACTGCTGAAACAGAACCATAAGAAAAGCTAAGTAAAAAGAGTACACCTACCCGCAATAACCACCACCATGCAGGCAAAAAACAACAGGCCCTTCAGTCCCTGCCATATAAACATGAAATACCTGAAATGACAAAGCAAATAAAAGATGATCTTGCTACTTGACTACGAAAAGAAGAGCATAAAAAAAGTAGTAAGGACAAAAAACAAAGTAATACTATGATAAACTCTCAGGCAGACAGAAATATTATTGTCAAGAAACAAACTGAGTTTTCAAATACTAAGAAAATTCAACAGAAGTTAGAACCAACATCATCTGAGTCTGGGATCTGAATATCATCTTCTCGATCGAAATAATCTGACCAATCTAAAGGTGCATATTTCTGTGAAGATGTCCTACAACAATAATTAAGACAATTTTTCAGTCAAAATATGTGATTAATAAAAAACAACAAATTTCGTGGACCAAAAAAAAAAAAAAAAACTCTACACTTCTACAATTCTGATGTTTAATTGCAAACAAAGACACCTTTGTCTAACCTAAAGCTCCTAAAAGAGCTCCCCGATTACTAATATGCTGGCATCAAGTAGAAGTTTTTAATTTTATTTAGTACAATATAAATTTCACTAAACTGCACTTGAGAAGTGCATATATATTAACAGAAAAAAGTATTGAGTCTGCTCCTAACATTGTAGGGAATAGGAAAGTTCCAGAAAAGAATTATCATTGTTTCCAATAGTCAGATTACATTACACCAGGAATTTAACAATTTGTAAACATCTAGAGCAAAAATTAGCTAGAATCTCCTCTTCAAAACACCTGCAGTTCAGCAGTAAGTACCTTGGTGATTCTAGGTCCCTCATATAAGTGTTGTAAAAGGCAAAAAGCTTTAAAACGCGCTCTAGATCTCTTGGGGCTTTAAGCGCAGTTAAAGTGTGGGCTTTAGTAAAAAAAGGTGCAATAATGAAAAATAAAAATATATTCGTGATACAAGAAAAAAGTAACAAATTCATTCATAGTGTTTTCCTTAACAATTATTAAATCTCTTTGCTGATTATATTTTTATTGTTTATCAATGCTTTATTGTTTATATTTTTATTTTATCTGACTATGGGGTTACACCAAGGATCTGCGCTCAACCCATTCTTATTTGCCCTGGTGACGAACGCATTGACACACCATATTCAAGGGAAGGTGCCATGGTGTATGTTGTTCGCTGATGACATAGTTCTGATTGACGAGATGCGGAGTGGTGTTAACGAGAGGCTGGAGGTTTGGAGACAGACCCTTGAGTCTAAGGGCTTCAAGTTGAGCAGGACGAAAACGAAATATCTTGAGTGCAAGTTCAGTGCCGAGCCGAGGGATGCGGCCATGGACGTGAGGCTTGGATCGCAAGTCATTCCCAACAGAGCCAGTTTCAAGTACCTTGGGTCGGTTATCCAGAGGTATGGGGAGATCGACGAGTATGTTACACACCGTGGTGGGGTGGATGAAATGGAGGTTAGCATCTGGAGTCCTGTGTGACAAGAAAGTGCCACCGCTACTCAAAGGTAAGTTTTATAGAGTGGTGGTTAGACCGGCCATATTGTATGGGCTGAATGCTAGCCAGTTAAGAACTCACATATCAGAAGATGAAAGTAGCAGAAATGAGGATGTTGAGGTGGATGTGCGGGCACACTAGGATGGATAAGATTAGGCATGAAGATATTCGAGAGAAGGTGGGCGTGGCTCCCATGAATGACAAAATGCGGGAAGGGAGGCTCAAATTGTTCGGGCACGTACAGAGGAGAAGCCCAGATGCCTCGGTAAGGAGGTGCGAGCGGTTGGCGTTGGTGGGTACGAGGAGAGGTAAAGGGCGGCCTAAGAAGTATTGGAGAGAGGTGATCAGGCGGGATATAGCGAGGCTTCAGATCTCCGAGGACATGGCCTCGATAAGAAGCTGTGGAGGTTGAACATTAAGGTTGTACGTTAGGAGGTAGTTGAGCATATTTCTAACTCGTATCAGTGTGAGGCTAGGCTGATAGGATTTTGTCTCAGACTGCTAGTGGTCAATGTTATGTTCACACCACTCTTCCATTTTCATAGTGCCGGGCCTTATTTACTGGTTATTATTTTTGCTTTCCATCTATTTACTGCTTCTTGTAATGTTGTTATTATTTCTATGATTTTTATTGATGGTATTGATATATTGTCTCTTTTCGTCTTCTTGAGCCGAGGGTCTGTCGGCCATAATGATCCGGGAGTCCCGTGTGGAAGGGCTCTCGCTCAACGGATCATCAGAAACATCCTCTCTACCCCCTCGAGGTAGAGGTAAAGTCTGCGTACACACTACCCTCCCCAGACCCCACTTGTGGGATTTTACTGGGTCATTGTATTAATGCTTGATTCAACATAGGACATGTGGCCTATAAGGCGTACACCTTAGTGCCTTGCCTACACTGAAGCACAGCTTAAGCAAGGCGAAGCGCCCTCCTTGAGCTTTTTTGAGTTTCAGGGCTTAAGCGCGTCTTAAATGAGCCTTTGATATCGCACACTTGCTGAACAAATTCTAATCTCTTTTCAGCGAAATTTGTGTGATGAAAGCTTCCTGGAGGGCAATTCATTCAAACATGCTGCTCTAGTGGGTGCCTTAGTTATGCATTTTATCTTCTATGTCCGTTCTATATTTTATGTTATCCTCTCTACTTATACTTTTATTGCATGACTCACTGTAAATTTTCCCATCTCTACTTGCTTTACATTTTATATTACCAGGGATCTTCGATACTTCCTTCACTTCTCCGATCATACTAAGTAGTAAGTAGTTCAGCCACTCTATCAACCTCCCAGTCAATCATTTTTTGCAGTCTGCAACCGCTTCCTCCTGATTCACCACTAGTGGGTACATATGTAAGGGAGGTGAGCTTCAAAGGTTGCTGATTAAATCAACCATCTTGCCACATTCTTATCTTCCCTCCATCACCTATTTGCAGTTGAACTTTTGTTGAAAATCTCCTCAAAAGACTGCTTAGATGCTTCCATAGACCCACCCCACTGCCAGAGCAGGTTCCGGTATTCCAAAAACCATAGATTCCATATTTTATCACATTTTGATCTCTTTCCATAAGTCTAGTTGCTCATCGTCAAACCTCTATAGCCATTTTAAGGGTAGACTCAGGTAATTTCAGATCTTTTACTCCCAAGCCGAAAAACCTCTTAGGTGTTATTATTCTGGACCATTTTATACTACAGGACATCTTATTTTAGTTGCTTTTGCATAAGAAGTACCTCATTAACTTGTTCAGTTGTTTGACAATTTTTTTGGGGAATGTGGTGCAGTGACATATAGATGGTGGAGCATCAAGAAGTTCTTAACACTAGAACAACTTAGCAGTTCCCTTCCGTTACAAAAAAGAAAATTAGTAGTTTTCTTAATGCAAATTGAACTTGCGCTATCTATGGAGAATGGAGTGGAGTGACTATTCTTAATAATCCCTTTCCTATCTCCTCCTTTTTGGCATTGGTCTATGGGTTGACTTGGCTGAGCATTGTCATTAAAAATGTGTTGCTTCACATTAGTTAAGTATAGAACTCAACTCTGCTATAGCATATATGTTACTATCATAAGAGTCACTGTGCTGTCAAAAAGGCACTTGAGCTCCATCATTCCACCCTACTGTCCTCACATAAGATGCAAATAGTCGGTCACCCACCTTCCAACAACAAGGAAGCGAGCCTTATAAAAGGGATAAATTGTAGCTCCACCTGTTTCGTCCGCCTCTCAAAAATGAAGGGGACACTTCTGTGGTGAAAAATAGTAAAATACTACTCCCTCTGTTCCAATTTAAGTGACATTCTTTTCTTTTAGTCACTTCCAAAAAGAATGACACATTTCTATGTTTAGTAACAATTTAACTCTAAACTTTCCATTTTCATGAGATGATTTATAGCCATAGAAATTTCTTTGGCTTGTTTTAAACCACAAGTTTCAAATGTTTTTCTTTTTTTCTTTCTTAAACTTTGTGCCCCATCGTACACCAACACATAAATTGGGATGGAGGAGTATCAAATTTCCCATACTAAAGGCCAAATCCCTAATCAAAATGCAGTTAACACCTCCTTCCCACTGCAACTGTTCACACAATTCACCAAATACATGATATCTACATCTCCAGCAATTTTTCTACTTCCCAATATTGCCTTCGATATAAATAACTAAATATGTGTGGAGCCACTGTAAGCTTTTATAGGCTTTTCAATTGTCAAACAACATCAGATCATATTTTCTTAAAACTTTGACATTTAGAAGAACTAAAATTATGGGTGAAAGGGAGTAAAAGTTGAAACTCCTTCTACAAGGTGCATAATGAAACACCAAGTACTTTTTTCAGCTTAAGGTCCTCAAATTAGCACTTCTCGTTCTTGCTTCTGCTCGTCATTCCATCTGACAGGATTCTTTATCGAATTTATTTGGAATTTGACAATTTTTACACCAGCTTTCCATCCAACAGAAGAAATTCTTCAGATAGTTATGGTAGACAGTACCAAAAGATCTACATCTATTTAACAATGATATTTAGGACTGACAATCTAATTCTCACACCTCAAACCTATTTGACATGTTTATCCTAATATCCCCACTAAAGCTAAAGTCTCCCTAACAAAGAGGCCTTAAACCCATTAGTGTATGGCATTATTCAGTTGCTTGTCCAGTTATAGCAATCCCAACTAGGTACATCAATAACAATTGACCGGATGTTCCAACAATTAAAATGATCTCATTGGTTTACCAAGATCCCTTATTTCCAAATATATACTCTCCCTTGATAAGTCTTTCTCCCCAGTAAAAACTAATCCACATTTACAGAACCAAAGGTAGCAAAAAGAGATCATCATCACAGCTTCTGTACTAAAGAAAGACTAATAATAAAAACTCCATGAATGTACAGAGCATTATCAGTACCTCTAAAATGCCAATCACACATTTCAAATAATTTTATTCCAAAATTTCATACTACACAAACATAGGAAAAAAAAACAAACACCAAAAAGTTTAATTTTTTTTTTTGTTTTTTGGAAAAATGGACAAGGATGATGAGCTTACTGAATGGGAAGGCGAGCAGGGATAGAAGAAAAGGCAGAATGGAGATTATGGGTTTCTTCTGAGCCTTCTTCTGGAAGTGATGTAAGGTTTGATGAATCCATATTTGATGATCACTCGAGAGAATGTGTGAACGTTTGTAGGAACTCTGCTATTTCAGGACTGTGAATATTTGAGGTTTAGTCTTCCTGTGATTTGATGCTGATCTGTGTCGGGTAAATTTTGCTTCTTCGCCTTTGGGCCACTAGTAAGCCCAGTCCACAAATTGTACTGATTTATTGTCGGCCGAAAATGTATCAATGTAGAACAGTGTTTTCAAAGGCGTTAACAGGGCGCGTTTCGGAGCGCGTATTGAGGCGAGGCGATGGTAAATCGCCCTTGGGCGGATATGGGGGGCGGAGTTCTGTAGGGCGCAAGCTCCAACTCAGGCGCGCCTTGGGCCTCACTGAAGAGACGCACGCCCAAAAGTTGTCGACCAAATTAGTTCAAATTTCGCAAGAAGAAGAAGAATCAAAGTAGAATTAAGAGTTTTTGCTCGCCACAAACATAAACATAAAAACAGGAGTAGGAAAGAAAGAGAAAGACCTGATGTTATTCCAAATAAAAAAGTAGAATTTATGTTCTTATTTTGTGCCATTTCATTTTCAAATAGCAAAGAGAGCGGGTGAGCATGGAAGTGAGTAGCAATCGGTTCTCATATGCTATTTCAAACTGATTCAGGTTTTAAAAATTAGTAGCTCCGAGTATGTGTTTGAACAGGTGAAAGGATTCTCACAATATCCAAACCCACTATTTCCCTTTTTCTTTCTTATGTTTGGACTTTTGGTGGCTCACTGCAAATGTCTATGAAAGACTCGGTCAATCATACAATGTCCTAAAGGCTAAATATGAGATGGTGCACATCTCAACGTAACACGTGTAATATGAATGATTTTTATCTTTATAGTTTTTTTTACTTAATTTGTTTCATCTTTTTTTAACAATTTTCTCAGTGTAAGTTTTTCAGTTTTCCTTTTTAGTTTCTTTGACCTGGTCTATTGAAATCTTGGCTGAAGTATTTCGTCTCTTAGAAAATTTTGATAAGAAATTAAAAGATTAGTGAAAAAAGTTGTAAACAATTAGAAATTAATTTAAGCATAAACTTGTCTACGTATAAAGAAATATCAAACAAAAGTTCAATTTTAACTTTGAATTTTATAAAAATAATGTACTTTGAATTTTATTGTTTGCTATTACTTGCTACCAGGGTTTCTACCTTCTTTAGCCGAGGGTCTATCGGAAACAGTCTATCTGCCCTCCCAGGGTAGGGGTAAGGCTGCGTACATCCTACCCTCCTCAGACCTCACTTGTGGGACCACACTGGGCTGTTGTTGTTGTACTTTCAAATTGTTGTATGCTTATGTATTTCAAAAATTTAAAAAATATTAAAAAGAATAGAGATCCATGGGGCATACACGCCATTTAAAGGAGCTTACGCCTCGCCTTGCGTCTTCGCCTTTTAAAACACTGATATAGAACAAGCAAATCAATGTGATGAAGCCAAAGTGTAACAACAAAAATGTAATAAGTGCCAAATTTTAGAACAAGTCTCCAATAAATTTGGAGATTCTATTACATTAAAAAAAGAGTATGAGACAAAAATATTAAGCAAAGTACAATGCTAATAAAAATTTCTATTAACAATGTAATAATACTAAATATTGGATAATATCTATCTATATAGAATAAGAGAACCAAATCAATGTGATGATGGCAAGTGTAATAGCAAATATGCAACAAGTGTCAAATTTTAGGACAAACCTCCAATAAATTTGGAGATTCTATTATATTAAGAAAAAGTAGTAGACAAAAATATTAAATAAAATAATATGCTTGTTTACCCTTAAAATTGGATAACAATTAAACTTATAACGTGGTTTTAAGGACACGTAATTTCACCTAATACCAATTGATAAATATGAAGATTAGTAATAAAAATTAACAATAAGATAAAGCAAACTAGTGTTGAAGCGTAATTCAGCCCTTCGAGTTAGAATGCCTTCGAGCTGATTGAGACTGGAACAAGTAAAAATAAGGAAAGCTGATGAACAAGAAAGTATAAGCTAAAAAGAGCGTTATATTGCTTTAATCTGCGATATTCCAAGTGCCTTACAAATGATTGGAACTCCTATTTATATAGTAGAGGAATTCTAATTATGGTATAACTTTAATTACAGAAGGAAATCCCATGATTAGCTAATTAACCGTCCTTGATTTGATCCGTTCTGAGATTTTCGCCATGATCTTCGGCCAGTCACGGATATCTCGGCTTTCTGTTATTATGCTACCTTCGATCTTGCTCGATGTCTCATTTGGTCCCAATAACTACCGGCCTCGATCTTGACGGGTACCTCGAATCTCGAATCTCGAACTCGGTACCTTGTCCTCGTGCCTCGGTCTGATCTATTACGGGATTGATCTTCGATCCTTCACATTGGTCTCGATAAATCAGTAAAATCGGGTGGGCCCGATTTTAACCGTATACAAATAGTTCCCTCGTTTTTTGGAGTATAATGACAAGAAACCAATTGAGTCCTCGACCTTTATCCCAATTTATTATGACGTCATCACCGTGACGTAAGCGACATAGGAGACCAAAATGTCCCGTCGGTGCAGTTTCCCAGGTCATTAATGTGTGTCAGTTGATGGTCGGCCAACAGTAATTTCGAAACATCGCCGTGAGACCCATAAATAGGCCCCTTTTCCACTTTTTCAAATTTGACTTTCCTGTGCTAATCTTCAAAAACCCTTTGCATTCTTCAAGTTCATCTGCAATATTCGAGTTTCATTGCTAACTTCTTTTTAAAACACCAAATACTATCACCGTCGTCCTTCTTTAATCTCAACCAAATGGCGAAAACGTCTAAAACTATTCCACAGAAAGAAAAAGCTTTCTCTTCTAAGCCAGCCGGCGAACAACCGGCGGTGGAGACACGCCCTGAATAACTCTTTCCTCCACCGTGTGTTCTCGATTATGATTTTAAGGTCGAAATGACCCCCTCGATTCCAGGCCGATGTGAGCCGATATTGAGGTACATATGCACTATCACCAGTGGCCTTTTAAAACAATTTAAAAAGGACTGCAACTGGGTAGACAAGCACGTGGTGGTGCCCTCCCCTGAAGAGTCAATCACTACGCATGTGGAGGGGTTCCTAAGTGTTTAAACCTACCCATTCATTGGGTCCTGTGGATCCGATCATCGTGGACTTTTTCAAGAAGTACGACGTCACCCTTGGCCAAATTCATCATTCTTTTTGGAGGATAGTGATACTGCTCTGCTTCTTTGTGGGCCAAGTCGACGGGCTTCCCTTTACCCTTGACCATCTTATACGCTTATACAGCCCCCAAATTTATCGAGGGAGGCTAATAAAGCTTCAATGTCGGTCCTCCAAGTCAGTTTTCATGAGCATAGATAAGGACATGGACTGGGGTTGGATGGGCCGATTTGTCCGAGTAAAGACCTTGGACCTAATCCCGGCCTAAAGCATGCCATTTCCAGAGAAATGGAATATGAAACGTGAGTATAACTATTTTTTACTTCTGTTTATTATCTTCATTTTTTCTTCCTTCCTTACTAGCGTTTTATTTGGTGCAGTCGTTACTTGGATGCCGGGTGCAATTCTCCATCTCGAGAACTGGGTCAGGAGCCCAGTGTCGACATCGAAACACGTTGAGGGAGCATGGCGCGAGTTGTCGAGGGGTCGATGGGAGGCCCGAAACCATGGTAAGTTTTCGTATAATCCGATAACTCCGACCACCGCCCTTTCGATCTCATTTACCCTTCTTTCACCGGCCTTGGGTAGGATGTGCCGATGAGGCCCCCATAAGGTGATGAAGAAAACCTTCCCCAACCGTCTGCTCCAAAATAGAAGAAAGAGAGGAAGAAGAGAGAGGCTTCGAGCTCCACGGAGTTGGACGAGCAAAAGCCCAAAAAGAGGCGAACCCGTAGGGGGAATGTCATCCCTTTGGAAATGGATTCAGTTCTCAGGCTACGAGATGAGCTCGAAGAGGGTGAACAGGAAGAAGAAACGAAAGATGATTCAGGGCTGATAGTCCGTACATGAGCTAGCACCGGGGCTCGAAAAGCTTTGGAACCAATGGAGACCAATGCTGACCGGTCTAGGCTTGATGAGGTCGAGGAGGAGGCTTCGGTCCAAGTCCTCGAGCTGAAAGGAATCGAAGGCATTTTGCCTCGGGGCAAAGAGGCCATTGAGGAGGCGATGGATGTCGATGTAGAGAATGAGCTCGAGGCTTCCAAGATGGAGGCGGTGCTTTAAGAGATCCTCGGGGGGCAATAGAGATTGGGGATTCCCCTTGTTTCCTTCAGTCTCCGATTCTTTGATACGCGATGCTCAAGCCGTGGAAGGAGCTCACGGAGAAGAGGATCTCTTTCGTGGTCTATTTACCGGGATAGAAGACATCACCGGTTTGGGTGAACTGGAGGTTTTGAGAAAAAGCTCGAGTGAGGCTTCCTCGAGTTCCAAACTGGCCGATCAATTCCGGCTCCCAATGTTGATCCCGGGTGCAAACGAACTATTGTGATCTCGGTCCCGGAAGATGCTCGTGTTCTTGGTGCCCCCGTAGGGGTGTCCAACTACCTCTAGGGTCTGGTCACAGAAGAGGATCGAGCCTAGATGGACGTGGTGGGAGCGCCTTATCTTTTCAATGAGGCCCAGCAGGCTTTGAATCAGGTAAGCCGTAACTTTCCTTGTCAAAACCAGCTTCCATACTTGTGTTTTTCTCTTCTTACCTATTTCTTTTTCTTCTATTTGTGTAGGCCTCGGTGCTTCATCATGAAGCTTTCTTTAGGTCTCGAGGAGAGCTGAGCCGATATGAGGCCGAAATTCAATGGCTTACCGAGGACAGAAATGCCCTTAGGCTTCTCGGCGAGCAAAAAGAAGAAGAAATCAAGGGCCTCCAAGTTGAGCTGGCCGCGGCTCAGGAAGAATAGAGCGAACTGACCGAGCAGGTAATAAAAGTTTAGAAGCTCATGGCATCAGTTCGGGAGTGATGGCTAACAATTCGATCTCATAGGTTCAATAGAAGCTCGAGATGATCGGGCAACTCCGTAGAGAAGTATATGTGGTGAGGGCGGAGACCATAGCATGGAAGCAAAATATGGATCGCCTTGCCTCAGAGAAAGAGGCTGCTCAAGCACAGTTATCCTCGGCTGAAAACCAACTCCAAGGCATGAAATAGAAGAACTTGGCACAAGCCAAGAAAATTGAGGAGCTTCAGGCTCGGTTGGTTACGGAGCTTGCAGTGGAGGAATCTAAGGCTGAGACGGCTAAGGCCGATGTTGAGGCAATGTGGCCGCTTATCGATCTGACGACGAAGCCGCTCAAGCACGAGCAAAGGAAGTTGCTTATAGTACTCAGACTCGAGCATACTGGGTGGTCGATATTGCCAAGTGTCAGTCTCGAAGAGAGACTCTCGAGAGGATCCACGCTCGTGGCTTCGATCTCGCTGCCGAGATCAAAGATGCAAAAGAGCTTGAAGCCGAAGCCAAGGCATTGGTCTCTTCTGGTGATGATGACTTCGGGAGCACGAGCGAGTCCGAGAGTGGAGAAGAACCCGAGGGCAAAGATGTTGCTCCTGGAGAAGATTAAGTACTTAGGATCTTTTTTGGATTATTTGCATAGAATTCCATTCGGGCCATGTTGCCCTTGTAATTAACTTTTGATGTATATAAAGGTCTCTTTTTTTTTCTTGTGCATTTTCATTTCATTTCTGACTCATGAATTTATGCCGCATTTATGCTTTATGAAATTGTCATTCATAGGTTCGAGTTTTAGGCAATTC